AAAAAAAACTAAAAAAAAACTAAAAAAAAAAAAAAAAATAGATCTTTATCTCCTTTTGATATCGTTTTAAGTTTAATCTATTTTTCAGGTGTGGCGTATTGACTATGAATTATGTAATAATTGTATCCCGGCATGTATTTTAACTTTTCAGTCGCCATGTGGGAGGAGGGTGGGGCTTCAATAGCACTGTAAAGTTGATATGATTATATAATTTTTTATAAATGAAATGGGGTTTAACGTCCTACTGTCCTGCTGCGACTGGGCTAATGAAAACGGGCTTATGCCTTGCAGTATGGCATGAGAGAAATTTTTCCCGGACAGCTGCGCTACGGCTTACTTTTATATCGAATTCCAACTGCCAAGGTATCTTTTAGGTGCATGCCAATGTGTACACGGGACCTAGGTTGTTTATCGTCCCATTTGAACGACAAGACAGCTGTGCTTGTCAGGCCCTCCGCTTTGCACCACTAATAAAGGGAATCCACGCCAGAAAATCCCGATGAAATGCCACGGCCAACGCCGAGAGCGAAGTATAACTTTTATAGATTAAAGGACAATATTGGTGCCAGTCATTATAACATATGTGACAGAACGGCTTAAACACGTTCCAAATATTATTTTATCACAGAGATCATTGCTACAATAGATGCGTAATCAATGCTTGGACAATCGTAAGTGACGAACGCAAAAGGAAAACACGAGTTATCCCTCTATATAACTGACTGAAGTGACGGGTGATAACAGATACATGGGCGAATTTCTGCTCACTAATAATTCCTTCGAAGACCAAAAGTTGTTGTTTGAGACTGTGAGAGTATATCTGACAATTCCTAAAAAAATTGACTGTCACTAGATAAGAGAACAAGAAAGAAAAATAGAAAAAGTCAATGCAGTACCATGTTTTTATAAGTATAGAATGAATGTAAACACGTGATTATGTCTACTAGATCTGTTAACACTGTTCTTATGCGTATTTTGCATACAGGTAGTCCATTGGGCATTGGCTAATTACGCTATTTTATCGAGATTTCGTCTAATAGTTTGGATGCAGCTATGGCGGGTGTGGCGTCAGGCAGGGTAGGCTTACTCTTCTGGACACCTGTTACCACTGTTTTTCGTGTATTTTATACACAGTGAACAGTACATTTGCTGATTATACTATTTTGCCTATACCGTTGTTTTAGGACTTGGAATTTTGTCTAATGGTTTTGATTGTTCGTACTTGGTTTTATTTTATATTATTTCCAAGTTAAAAGTAAATAATATAAAATTTATATCGGCACAGACGTAATATGATATATATTTCAGCGGCTGAATATTCATTATCTGAAGGTGGTACTAACTATGGATATGTTCAGATAAAACAAAATGGTACAACGGGTTATGCATTTGACGCGTTTGAATCTGATGCTGACGTGGTGGCTGTAGCTGCTTGTAATAGTCTTGGTTTTAATGGTGGTCTACTACACGACATGCCCAAATCATACCCTACATATGTCTGGCGCATCATGGCAACTACATGGGATGAACACTTTCCTCGCCTTCAACCATTGAGTGTCAGTAGTTTAACTTCAAAAGACCAGCATCAGTATATCTCTGTTATTTGCTTCGGAACAGGTTAGTAAAGACATATTCATTCAATGACATGTAGTAATGTCCCCGTCAGACCGGGGTAGCGTCCCTACTGCGCTGCAACCGTACGGCGAGCAGAAAATACTTAAGGTCGCGGCAAACATGAACACACCGCAAGCAAATATCCTGAAAAATTACAAACTTGAAGCAAGTCGCGTTCTCACAACTTTCCAGGCCAAATCGCAGAACCTTGGCGTTTGCATTAAACATTGAAACGTTTTAGAATATAAATACAACAAATACTATGCTGTCTGTGCTGATAATTTTACAATGAGAGAAGGTGATGTGGTTTGTCGACAACTGAGATATCCTAACGCAGTCAAGGTTAACGACGCCATCTTTCATGATCAGGCGGTACTGGGGATTCACAAGTTTACTTGTCCCGAGGGTGTAAATACAACAGCTGATTGTACATCGATATTTACTGCTAACAGTGATGGATGTGTATCGGGCAAAGCTTCTGTGATTTGTGAAGGTGGTCCAACTACTCCTAGTCTAGCTACTCGAACAAGTAGTCAAGCACCATCTCCCTCGCCTACTACTAGTGCTAGCGGTCAGGAAATACAAGGTTTGTTCATATGTAAATTGATACACAGAGGTTGGATTTAAATATACCATTTAACATTAGGAGGAAGCCGGAGGACCCAGAAATAACCCACGGGGTTGGACAGGCAACCCTTCTCAATATCATGTTCAAATGGGAAATCGAAGCCAGGTCACACGACTCAATGGCAGACCTTGTGATTTCACGCACACTTGTTAAATCACTAGCCCATCCAGCTCTCCCAGATTTAAAGATACCACTTTTAAAAAAACAAAACCCGACTATCCCGTTAATCAGTATTTAGTATCTATGTCCGATTAGGAGTCATGGTCGCTAAGCGGGTAGGGCGCTGGCTCACTAGCCTGGAGGTCGCGTGTTCGATCCCTGCATTGGCCGAGAAAATTCATCGGGATTTTCCGACGTGGTTTCCCTTTGTCAGTGGTGCAGGACTGCGGGCCCGACAAGGCAACTGTCTGGTCGTTGGGACGAAAAGTCGAGGTCCCATGTATGCATTTACATGCCCGTAAAAGATCCTTTGGCAGTTGGATTTCGATATAAGAGTAGGTTAGCCCAGTCATAGTAGGACGTTAAATCCATTTCATTTCACAGTGGCATTTAACGATGGAGACTTTGTGGTAACAGTGTAATGATATGAATTACATTTGGAGAGAGAGAGAGAGAGAGACGAGAGAGAGAGAGGGGAGTTAACTTCCACGCGACATAAACTAGGTCATTTCGGGACTAACATATGGTTCAATTTTATTTCAATAATTTGCTATCGCGGAGGGATCTATTTCTGAGGGAGGAAACCGGAGGATCCGGAGATAACTCACAAGGTTGGACAGGCGACCCTACTCCCCTTGTCCTGTACATCCGGGGAACCGAAACCACGCCAGTTGACTCCATGACAGACCTTATGATACAGCGCCATCCCCCAGCCTCCCGTAGAATACTACGGACATCTACATCGCGAATGTGTTGCCATGTTAACGCCATAGTTCAATTCCGTACGGAAAAAGGAATGGATATTTTTTATATTCATATTTTGATTCATCTTTTTTATTTTTTTTATTTCAGCTTCTGTGATAATTATCATTATGTTACTGGTTCTTTATATCTGAGTCTGAATCAAAATTTATTATTATTATGTTATTCTCACCTCATTGCAACAATTAAAAATGAAATTTATTTCTATATAATTATTGTAATCCTGAAATGTCTTTTTTATCTTATTTTCACCTCATTGCAACAACTAAATGAAAATTATTTTTATATAATTGTAATTCAGAAATGTCTTATTTATCTTATTTTCACCTCATTGCAACAACTAAATGAAAATTATTTTTATATAATTGTAATTCAGAAATGTCTTATTTATATTATTGTTCTTATAGCAATTCTGGGGGGTTTGATGGCCGAATGGTTAGCACGTGCGGGCTATATTATTGAGTCTGTCATTGAGTCAACTGGTGTGGATTAGACTCCCCGCTTCTACGTGACAAGGAGTAGGGTCGCCTGTATAAACTCGTGGGTTTTTCTCCGGGTCCTACGCGCAAGAGAACTATTGAAATAAAATTGAACCATGTTAGTCCCGAAACGACGTAGTTTGTGTCGAGTGGACGTTACCCCCCCCCCCCCCCCTCTCTCTCTCTCTCTCTCTTAAATGTCTTATTTATTTTTGGCGATGGTATCTCGGACCCCATATTGACGGCCGTCATTCTTAGATAGAAATTTTTAAAAAAAGATTTCGCTGCGACAGATTGTCAACCAATAACGCACCCCTAGCTGACAATATTTCACTTAATATCCCAAATTAATTCGCCATTCCCACTCGAATTTTGTAAATATAGCGCAGAAAATAGCTGCCATATCCTAATTAAACGCGATTAAGTCTGTGAACACGCATCTTCAATAGAAGGCTTGATCTCGCCTTAACTACGTACATGTAAAACTCGCGGTCGTTGCTTCAGAAACATGGTGAACACGGTTCTTTTGAACACTTTGTTGCAAGGGGATGGGGTGTCCCTGAAACTTTTGCCCTAGAATATTTTAAGGGCCCTGTGTGGTTCGTTCTAAAAGAGACACCAACATCCGGTGGTCGGGTAGAGTTAAGAGTTTCTCAAAGATATATCAATGTCCGGTTTCCAGGTGGAGCTAGAGACTATCCTCTTCACTACAGTAACCACCTTGTGCTTTGATGAACATATGAAAATAACATAATAGGCATGCACAGTGTTTTATTGCCACAGCGAGTAACACAAGTTTGTATCGCCATTTGACAAAGTCTACAAACTAAATGATTTGCGCGACCTCGATGATCTCTTTTGGGCCGAAACCTTCAGGCAAACTTGTGTCAATTTTGAAGTTTAATGTCTTAAGGCACATTAAAAACTGTCGACGGTCTTTGTCAGACCTGTGAAATCCAGCAAACTTGAATTAATTCATAATTGTTTATATACGCGAACGCCCCCCCCCCCCAGCCTCAGTATGCAGTAAGCAAAGCAATACACCATCATTCATCGAATATAACTGACCATTACATCATGTTGGTAATGTCAACGACTCTGGGTAATATTGAATTAGAACTTCAAACCCTTCTTAAGGCCGTTATCCCCTAAGGATGATGTGTTTTACATAGGCTATAACAAGCCTGTTTCCCAACCCCATTATGATATCCTGAATAAAAAAAATGTTTAACAACAAAATCCGTAAGAGCGTGAAAATGTCCACCAAATGATATTACAGGAAGAGCTGCTGGGCTTTATCCCTTAAGATCTGCTCTGGTGAGTCGTTTAGAACGAAATAAAATCAATGAAATGACACGAAGCAAAGTGATACATTTATATTCATTCCAAATAATTCACATAGTTCATTCAGTTTAAGATTACAATATAAAAAAAATGCTAAAATGACGCAATGCCTGTCACAAAATTGAAAAGATCGTGATTTGACTGATATACAAAATACTAATGATAAATATACAATGATCAGCCATGACACAGAAAATTGTAAATTTTAACTGTTTAATGCATCTTCTAGGACTTTTGCTATGTTATATTCTGGTGACAGGGCCTTTATGATTCTTCTGAGGACATTAGGACCACGATTTGCAAGAAGATCCACTAAGTCTCTTGCTGCATCTGCTTCGTATTTGTCTTTAGTTGTCCTTTCGATTCGAGTTTTATCATTCATGTCTATAATGTGGGCTTGATATAATTGCATCATAACGTCGCCAAGGCTCCTTTGAAAATCTTGTACAATACGTTCGGTGTTTGATATCCATACTTTCATATCATCGGCATTCATCACTCCTTTTTGGAAACCTGTAAAACATGATTTCTTTTAATATGATTATTATAACTCCGAGCACTTGCTGATCATCTTATCGACCAAACACTTTAAAAGTAAGTTGTTTCTGACTGCCCAGATAGCTATCTATGGAGGGTGGCGTTCGACCAACACAACTCATATTTTTGAACGTGTGATACCTGTGATCTCTTTTCCTATCAGGATGGATGTTATCTATCTATCTATCTATATCTATCTATCTTGAGGGTTGGATGGCCGAATGATTAGCGTTTTCGCGCTGTATCATAAGGTCTGTCATTGAGACGACAAGGAGAAGGGTCGTCTGTCCAACCTCGTGGATTTTCTCCGGATCCTCCGGTTTCCTTCCACTGCTTAAGACCCCTACGCGCAAGCAAATTATTGAAATAAAATTGGACCATGTGATAGTCCCGAAATGACCTAGGTTGTGTCGAGTGGACGCTAAGCTCTCTCTCTCTCTCTCTAATGCATTACATGTGTATCTCATTGCCGATTTTATCTTCATATATTCGGGTATAATGAGTGACAATGTAGCTAAGTCATTTCCGAACCTGTATACTCTTTGACTTCCGGGTGGGTACTTTGCTGTACCTTGATTCCTGTTACCGGCCCTCTGTAGCTTGCGACTTCCCCGTGGGCTCTTGGCTGTGTCTGGCTTCTAGTTACCGGACCTGCTCCCGAATCGTCTGAAAATAACCCAAATTACATTGCGTTTGTAAATACGGCACAACACTGCTAACTAATATACCATTATCTTTATTGGTTAAATTATAATAAAGTAATTTCAATCTTTCAAGATCAACATATATCAATATATAAAATCCAACGAAACCGAATTTTCCGTAGACGCAAATCTAAGCAGTTTGGCCATTTTTACATCAAGAGTTGTTCTGGCCCAATAACAGTTTCTTACATTCAGTATCTTGTAAACTGATTAATCTCCAAGTACTAGCTATGTCTAATAATAATGTAGTTACTTGGACATCCGTAGTACAATCTAATTAAAATATAGATCTATATTTCGTTTCGTTTTTTTATACTTTCGATGGCCTACACTACATGTAGATCTAACAAGTTATAGTGGGAGTTCAAGTTCTATGACGTCAGGTACCAAGCAAGCGACATTTGACCCCATTAAGTCAGTCATTCGATTAACCAATTAGCGACCGCCATGTATTTATTTTATCTACTTTTGCTTTGTTTTGATTTCTATTGCCGCTAATGTCTACCCACAATTCCGCGCAAAAAATGTCAAACACTCGATTCGACAGACCATTTGATTGGCTGACCCCTCATTTCAAGCAGAACACAAGTTAAATAACAACGCTTCCAGATCCAAGTGTAGTAAAGACAAGTAAAATCGAAATTTTGAACTATAAAAACGAAACGAAATTGGATCTGTGTTTTAATCAGATTGTCTGTAGTATTATACAACACTATAATATTGCTTTGCAAGTAGCACGACAACAATAGTAACCATTTACGTCTACAAAGATAATATCACACTGTATTAGTCTCTACTACACATTGCTGGCTGAAATGAGACTAGTAATTGATTTATAAGTGGTCAGTTTCATTAATAAATACATCACAAATGCAATATAAACAGCACCACTACTTTTATTGTAAACAACTAAACCTCTGGTTAACCATTCGCCCCCCAACCCACCCACACACACACGATTTAAATACAGTAGTTGTTGATCCAGAGAGAGAGAGAGAGAGAGAGATGGGCTTAAAGTCCACTCAACACAAACTATGTCATTTTGGGACTAACATATGGTTTAATTTTATTTCAATAATTCGCTTGCGTGTAGGGGTCTTTAGCAGTGGGAGGAAACCGGAGGACCCGGAGAAAACCCACGAGGTTCGACAGGCGACCCTACTCCTTGTCACGTACAACCGGGGATTCGAAACCACGCCAGTCGACTCAATGACAGACTTTATGATACAGCGCGCGCACGCTAACCATTCAGCCATCCAACCCCCCTTGTTGATCCATAGACCTTTTGTGTTTATTTTAACACTAACGTGAGATTATGGCCTTGTGGTACATAAAGTAGTGTTCGACCGCCAGAATGATTGAAATCGACAACCTAGTCATCTAACAAACTAAGTAACAGCAGATTTAATAATACATACCTTTTATGTTCTTTACTAACTCCCCATAACCAAAAGATGTTAAACAGTCCATAAAGACATCAAAATGGCCACCTTTGTATTCTTTCAGTGTGTTAATTAGTTCTGATACACAATCTTCTGGGTTTATATCTACTCCTGTCAAAATTCTCTTCAACTGGTGATCTTGCAGGACATTGCGATGTTTTAAATCTCGTGCAATGTTACTTATCTGGCCAGCAAGATGCGTTCGTAGGGTTGGTTCGTGATCATTATACTTTTGTAAGTGGTAAGGCAGATAATCTAAATTTAAGAACAATAATAAGGGATGTAAAAAAAGGGTAATGACAAAGGCAATGCGAATAATGTTTTAACCCTTGTGCGGACACGTCGCACGAAAAACGTTGTCGGAAACAAGGGGTAATCAATCTAAGACCCCAGACATAACGACTGAATAATAATCAATCAGAGTAAAAAAATATTTGAGGTATTAACAGTGATGATATGAATTATAAGGTATTTTTGAAACCATAAAAATCTACAAATAACGTAATTGTTAGGTTCCATGTAGAATCGTCTTTTGATGGGGTTGGTAGGGTACCTAGATTTGTTTTCAGATCTAGATTACTAGAATGACCAACACAATATCATCAGCAAGAACGATTCCAAATACAAAGCTAGCACCGAGTGCAGAATAGATTAGACACCTGTATCCAGCAAAATGTTGAAAGAAAGGGGGAGGTAGACCCCTAGTGTCCGATAATGTAATACTCGTAGTTTCTTGTCAAATGATGAATGTTGCCACTGCCTCACTTCCTTTCTATTTGCAGAATTATATTCGACATTAAGTAGCTGACAAGGTATAAAATTCTCACAAGACAATTATAAACCAGTTCCTCACAAATGTTTATACGCACAAGTGTTAATATCAAAACAGTGAATTGCGATATCGTAACTAAAGAGTTTGACGCTTAAATTCACATTTTGAGATAATTATATTTTTTATGAAATCGTATTAAGTGACAGAAATAATTTCTAGTTCTGCTACTATTTCAATGAAAAATCCAAGATTTTGTTTTTAATTTACCTTTGTTCAAGGGTACAGCCATAATGATCCTTTGTCTGCAGAGAGAAAAGTGAGAAGGGTTATTTATATTTGATACTGCAATATACGTAGTATTTCATCACAGGTAAAATCTCAATCTGTTTCATGGAGGTAATGCGAAAACCTTTTTTGAACTCTGAACACGATGGCTGACCTTTATAAGTTCACGTGCATTATAGACCTACATGTGGCGTCACATCATACCGTCTCGATAGCACGTATGCTATGTATATTTGTAGTAAGGCAGAATTGGGGACTTTTACTCATTGTACACCTTCGCGTATTATTTTATGTACCTGGGGCCTGTAGATATATTTGGATTAATGATTGCCAATGGCCCGGGTCACATAATTTTAACATGCCATCATTCACAAAAACAATAATTATTTCTCATCCAATTTCTTTTCATAGCATGTGAAATACATCAACGGTCCGCCCGTTTGTTTTAATGTAAGGCAATTAGATGACGCCCCAAATTAGAACCCCGAGAGACAAAAACACTTAAAACCCCACTAAACAAAAACCCTTTATCATGAAAAGAAGAGCACTCTTACCTATAAAATATTTCTTCGTGTATAATGGTTTACAATGGCCAATTGCTTGGTATAAGAAGGCTTAAAGGCCTATAATACTATACATGCCATATTAAACGTATTTACTCAGGCCGATTTGAAATTATATTTTAATATCATAAATTTATTATTTTTAATGAAGGCTTACGTTAATAACACAACGTAAATCTGGGAAGTTGTAGGAGACAAATATATTTTATCTTGGAAAAATCATTTTCATTGAGTAAGACAGATGGTCATCATCCAATAAGGAGTGTGGCACTTTGGCATTTTTAAAGTATCATTGAAAGGGTCTATGGGGCTGACATTTCCAGCCTAGGCATCCATCGGAACATTGGCTATTTGGTGTATTAGTTTCAAAGTTGTTATATAGTGTTAAAATTGGACAGTAATCTACAGCCTAGATTAGTCGTTTGAGTCATAAATATCCGTTTTTTGCGACAACTCTCAATAGTTTCTGTTGTCCAAAATACCATAAATCTACGAAATTCAAGCGATTTAGTTTATCGATACTCATTATTTCTATTGAAGTCTGCTAATATATCAAATGTCAAGGTCACAAAAGCATGAGCATGCAAGTTCAGGGCCAACCCACCGATACATTTTAAAACGAATAAAATTCAATAAACTCATTTATTTTACCTCTCTACGGTTGCCTGGCCATGTGAAACATTGCTACAACGTATGAAACTCTCCCCATTGATATTGTAACCGTTAGTTCAACCTGTCAACAGTTTTCAGTTCCGAAGCGTATTCCTAAGTGCCCGTACCGGAAACGTGTACTGCGCGAGCGCACGCAATTTTAACTAAAATCTTTTAAAATTGCATTTTAAATTACAATCTATCTTCGTGAAACGCATAAAATTTAAAATCTCATTTGATTTTAGTTAAAATCTATTTTAGTGATTTTAGCTTTAGTTTTTGTAAAACAGGACCCAGATATTTACTTAATATTGGGTTTTTTTTTTTCAATTTAAAAAAAAAATGGTTTAGGATTTTAATTTACAGAAGGAAAAAAGTTAATATTGAGGGCTAATTAACTCGCCCCGATGTCTTACCGTTCTGTTATTGTAGCGGCCACCATTTCGTTTTAAAATTATAGGTAAAGGCGATTTAAATGTAATAAGAATATCTTTCAATAAGCAGCTCAGTAGAATAATATAGGGTTGGGGAGGTTCAGGATTTTAATGGTTTAGGAGAAACCTCTTTTTTAAGACACAAAGTTTTAGAAGTGACGTTACATATTATTTATTTCAACATAATTAAAACGTTTACTAGCAACAGTACGGTATTTATTGCACGCGATGTTGACATACCTAATATGTGACGTCACTTTCTAAAAATGGTAACATTTGTGTCTTAAAATAGAGGTTTTTCCTATACTATTAAGCTAGACACCAATCAAAGAATATCATTAGTTAGAATTACTAACAGTGCAGGACCTAGCACTGACCACACATGACAATGTGGTATCAAAATTTGTCTTCTTTCGCCATGCTTCATAGACTGGGTTGTTCTATTTCTCAAATACGACGAGACAATCCGTTCCAGATGCGAGAGGGAGAAAGAAAGAGAAATGGGGATTAACGTCCACTCGCTACAAACCAGGACATTTCGGGACTAAAATTCTATTTCAATTATTCGCTTTATCAGTGGGAGGAAACCGGAGAAAACTAACTAGGTTAGACATGCGTATCCCTATGCCTTGTACGTACAAGCAGCTAATCGAAACCAATCTACTTGACTCCATGTTAGACCATATAATCTACCACGGGTTAACCATTCGGCCACACACCGCACCCCACCGCACCCCACCTTACCCCACGTCAAATTCTAGATGCCACAGTGTTAATAAATAAAGAATAATATTAAATTCTTACTTGACCAAGTAGATTTGAAATGTCGATAACCTTTTGATTCTGTATGATAATACAGGGAAACACTATGAAATATTTCCGCTTCTATTTATATTTAGGTATATTATACTTGGTGGAGATACCTGATGAAATATTTCCATGTCTTTATATTCTAATATAACGATAAATAGAGTAGGACTTAGTATGCCAACATTTTACATAGTTATTTTGAAACTAACATGCGGTTTTCTTTAATGACTGGGAGGTTTGGGTGACCTAAAAAGTTCCATCCCACTGATATTGTAAGGTACAGAATTGTGCTTATTGATTTTTCGAGTATAAACAAACTGTGTATAAATTTATCAATCAGTAAAGTGGCAAAGGCGAAGAGGGCCCGTGAGAGGGTGTGGGGACCGCTGGGACACTTTTTCAGGGGCACGGAGCCCAGAGGGCCCAGATGTATGCCGAGTAATGTTTTAAAAACAAATTAATAAAATAAATACACTGATTGTTGGTGCCTGGCAACACAGATCCTATTTCGTTTCGTTTTTTATAGTTCAAAATTTCGTTTTACTTCTCTTTACTACAATAGGATCTGGAAGGGTTGTTATATAATGTGAGGGATTAGCCAATGAAGCAGTTCGTTACGGCGAGTTCTTGGCGGAACTGTGGGTAAACCAGAATAAACGCCAACGCTTGATTAATTAACTAATGTCTGACGTCATAGGTTCAAACGCCGCTCGTATGATCCCTGATGCGACGCCTACTACAACTGGTCAGATCTTCATGCAGTAAATGCCACCGAAAGTATGAAAAAAACGAAACAAAATATATAGATCTGTATTTTAATCAGATTGGGTGTCTGGTGGCGTGGTTGAGTAGTATAAAGGCAAATCAGGATACATGGTACTTCACGGGGTTTACAGTTGAAATGATCACGACGTGACAACTACGTAATTTGAACACCTTGATACAGGTCACATGTATGAGGTTTAGTAATTAAAATTAATTTGTTAAAAACTGAATATAAATCACTTTATATACATTCATGCTACATTAATATGTGCTTGTTGACCCAGTGTCATAAGGTCTGTCATTGAGTTAAGTAGCCTGGTTTCGATTCCATGTACGTGACAGCGAATAGGGTCGCCTGTCAAATCTCCTCGAATTTCTCCGGGTCCTCCGGTTTCCTCTCACTGCCAAAGATCGCTATGCGTAAGCGAATTAATGAAATAATATTGAACCATACATTGGTCCCATTTCCCTGCCTCACACCCTTTAAATTATATAAATACATTATGTAAGATTTAGATAAAATTGAAATAAAATGATGTCGCTAGTTTAAAAATAGACAATGATGAATGAAAATTTTAATAAATTCAGTCCATTACTTCATCCTGAGTGAAGTTATTTATTCCTGTTTGAAGTCTTGACAAGACCTGCAATTGACAGATTTAGCTCTTACATAGTGCATATTTAAGAAACAGATGCCTCGTTTGAAACGCATCGTTTAACCGTGAACTATGTATTGTTTAATGATCGAGAGCGAGACATTAAGTAATATATTGTAACAACATGAGGGCCGTGAGGCCCGAATGTTTTTACAATATATTACGCAATGTCTTAAGCTCGAGACCATTAAACAACTTAAAATACAGACACTTGCACGTGCTTAGCAATGAAATACGTTACTCGAGTTCAAAATTTTACCAAGTTACGCTTGGCACATTGCCCGTACGATTATTTGAAATAATGGTACTCCAACATCAAAGGATGACGTCACATCTGTATTTTAAATACGGTTATTAGTTGGTATCTAAGCAACGTTATCTTTTAAACGAGAGCATCGCTAACGCTGCAATATACGTCCACATTCCAACTTTGATTGACATGGTACTTTTTAAAATGAAGAGAGTGAAATATGAAATGGCTGTAATATAATAAGAGGCAAGAAGGCTAGGTGTTGGGTTTGTTTTGCCACATTTACAGACAAAATACTAACAAAAAAGCGGGCGTGACACTGCCCCAGGAGGTTGGGGCAAGAATAAATATGCAAAGTTCCAAGATGATCCATTTAGAATTGCAGCCTGTAGACGGTAAATACAAAAAATGGGTGTGGCTCTGCCCGTGGGGGTTGGATATGGAAACAATATAAATAGGTACCATCCTGTTATTGAAATGACAACATCAATAGTTGCCGTCCTTAGGGTATAAGGAATAAGTATACCAAGTTCCAGGATAATCCATTCAGAATTATGGCCTTTGGGCGCTAAAGGCAAAAATTGGGTGTGGCTCTGCCCCTGGGGTCGGGGCATTCACCAAAATCAATAGTTGACGCCCTTAGGCTATAAGGAATACATATGCCAAGTAACAAGTTGATCCATTCAGAATTCCGGCCTGTAAACGATAAACACAAAAATTGGGCGTGGTTCTGCCCCTGGGGGTCGGGACATGCAGTTGTCGTCCTTGGGCTATAAGGAATACATATCCCAAGTTCAAAGACAATCCATTAAGAATCGTGGCCTGTAGGCAACTCACAGACACAAAGAATAAATGGGCGTGGCTCTGCCCCTGTGGGTTGGGAAATCACCAAAAAACATCAGGGGACATCCTTAGGATAGAAGGAATAGGTATGCAAAGTTGCAAAAGGATCGGTTAAGAATTTTGGCCTGTAGGCGACACAAAAGGCACACAAACATTGGGCGTGGCTCTGTCCTAGGCGATGGGGCATGCACCAAAAATAATAGAGGTCAGCCTTAGGGTATAAGTAATAAGTATAAAAAAGTTTTCAAGACCATCGATTAAGCATTACAGACTGTAAGTGACATACAGACACACAAAAAGAAAATGGGCGTGGCTGTCCCTGGGGGTTCGGCATTCACCACAAACAATAGGGATGTTCCTTAGGATAGAATAAATAAGTATGCAAAGTTTCAAGGTGATACGTTAAGAAATGCGGTCTATAGATGACAAACAAATAAATACAAGAAATGGGCGTGGCTCTGCCACTGGGGTTCGAGCATGCACCAAAAACAATAGGGATCATCTTTAGGGTATAAGGAATTCATATAAAAAATTTTCAAGACGATCGATTAAGAATTGTGGCCTGCAGGCGACACACAGGCACACAAAAAGAAAATGGGCATGGCTCTGTCCCTGGGGGTTGGGCATGCAACCCAAACGATAGGGATGTTCCTTAGGGTACAAGGAATAAGTATGCAAAGTTTCGAGATGATACGTTAAGAAATGCGGCCTGTAGACGACAAACAAACAAATATAAGAAATGGGCGTGGCTCTGCCCCTGTGGATCGGGCATGCACCAAAAACAGTAGGGATCATCCTTAGCGTATAAGGTATAAGTATGTAAAGATTCAAGATGATCCAAACGATAGGGATGTTCCTTAGGGTACAAGGAATAAGTATGCAAAGTTTCGAGATGATACGTTAAGAAATGCGGCCTGTAGACGACAAACAAATAAATACACGAAATGGGCGTGGCTCTGCCCCTGTGGATCGGGCATGCACCAAAAACAATAGGGATCATCCTTAGGGTATAAGGAATAAGTATGTAAAGATTCAAGATGATCACTTAAGAATTGTGGCATGTAGGCGACACACAGAGACACAAAAAGAAAATGGGCCTGACTCTGCCCCTGGGTGTTGGGCATGCACCCCAAACGATAGGGATGTTCCTTAGGGTACAAAGAATAAGTATGCAAAGTTTCGAGATGATACGTTAAGCAATGCAGCCTGTAGACGACAAACAAACAAATACAAAAATGGGCGTGACTGCCCCTGGGGGTCGGGCATGCACCAAAAACAATAGGGATCATCCTTAGGGTATAAGGAATAAGTATACAAAGTTTGAAGACAATCGAGTAAGAATCACGCCCAGTAGGTGACATCACAGACACACACACACCCATACATACCGGCATATAGGTATTTGTCAGACCCTTGACTCAGAACATACTTATGGGGACGTCATGATCCACCCATGCAATCAAGACCATTTTTGGCATTTATAGAGAGTTTGACATTGTAATCAATATTAGATATTGTAAAAACTGATGAAATTGAAAATAAAGATATTTATCATTGTGGTGACGTCGTTGTGGGGGCCTGTTGATCATTGTGGGGACCTGAAACTACTATTCAGTCTTGCCATCATACTGGGGACAGTCTCACAAGGGTGGGTATATTGGAATAGCACATTCATACACTCTATCCTAGTTTTAGATACATAGCAAGGACCAATAATTTCCCTACCTGGGAGAGGAAAGTTTTGAATGAAAAGGCATAAAGGGTATGTTCTTTTGAAGATTACGGCTAACAATTAAACTATTTAATATTAATTGTTTGAATAAAGTATTAGGATATGGAAACTATGTGAAGAACACATACAAAATCTTTTTATATATTTTTTCCGATTTGAAGACCAAAATAATTAAAAAGTCCTCTAGACAGAAACCAGACCCATAGTTCCATCACTACGATATCTTCGTTATTGGGACGTCCCCACACTGACGGGTATAGCACATGCACACCATAAACAACAAGCATTAACATGATTTTCACCTAAATAAGAATTTGTCAAATACATTATGGGAACAGATGCATAGCTGCCCACAAATATAGTCTTGCATAGTTATTCCTCTCTCCCACACAAATCATTGCCTTATAGTCCCTTTAAGAGTAAAACACAATATTAGCTGCATTATGGGGACGTCCCCGTAATGATAGGTGTATTATGTTGCATAACACTTACACACCATAAGCAACAAGCATTACCAGGACTTCTTATAAACCTTTGTCATTTGCTACATACATTAATGGGTCAGACAGTTGTCTCCCCTTTGACTACATCCTAAATTGACACACTTATTTTAAGTATTTAAAAAAACCATTCACCTGCATTATGGAGATGCCACATCTTATAACACTCGCATACATGTGTCCACCCAAGGGCCACCTACATGCGAAATTTCAGCGCCCTGCGAGCAAGGGGAGGGGCAAGATTTGAGAACAAGATACACAGAGGAAAAGTGGTCAGGTCGGGGATAGAAATGGCAATAGAGGGGTTAAAAGGGATTATTCTGGCCTCAATTCTTTTTTTATGTATTCAGGCTAACCCCGCTAACCC